TCTTCATTCCAAACCAGCAACTACCCCTCTATACGTACACAGCAAGTCTAACCACCCACCTTGCATACTACGAAACATCCCCGAAGCAGTTAATAAAAGACTTTCTGAAATCTCTTCTGACGAAGACATGTTTAACAAAGCCGCACCTCCCTACCAAGACGCGTTACACAAGAGTGGCTACACATACAAGCTGCACTTCACTGAACCGGAACCGCACCGACCGCAATACCAAACCAAAAGGCGAAGAAACATAATTTGGTTTAACCCACCATTTAACAGAAACGTCCAGACCAACATTGGCAGAGCGTTTATTAACCTTATTGACAAGTGCTTTCCAGTCACCCACAAACTGAGGAAAATTTTCAATAGAAACACCATTAAACTGAGCTACTCATGCACACCCAATATGAAACAGATCATAGACGGGCATAACAAAGCCACAATCAGGAACGCAAAAATGTCCGAAGAAAGCCGCCCCCAAAGATTGTGCAACTGCAGAAACGAAAACGAATGCCCTTTAGGAGGGGAATGTTTGCAAAGCGAGGTTGTCTACCAAGCCACAGTCGCTACCAGGGAAGAAACTGAAACGTACGTTGGCCTCACAGCGACAGATTTTAAGACTAGATGGCGCAACCACCGAATGTCGTTCAACCACGAGAGACGGCGAAATGACACAGAGCTGAGCAAGTACCTGTGGAAACTCAAGGAGAAGAGGGAAGACTATTCGATTTCATGGAAAATTATTGCTAGGGCTAGAGCATATTCCAATGCCACAAAACGTTGCAATTTATGCCTCACTGAGAATTTTTTTATCTTATCTTATCCACATGAAGCCTCTTTAAACAAGCGAAGTGAAATAATATCCAATTGTAGACATCGACGAAAATATATTCTCAAGTATTCCTAACGCTATTATCGGCGCGCGCACGGTTTTCAAGATTTGAATTTTTTGAACAATGTCATGTGATCACGTTGCTGAGTTAGAGTTAACCGTCGCGATGCCTCAGTGTGTATGGAGTTTGACAGATGAGTGGATCAACGTTTGTTGGTCTACGAAACAGGCTGTATTAAAATCCATATGTGCGTAACTTGAGTAGTCCATTTGCTACTGTAATCGCTCCTTCATTGTCGAGCACTGTCCTGGATCCTACGTTGCCTATTTCGCAATAGGCAAAATAGGCAACTTGGACTACTCAAGTTACGCACATATGGATCAGTTTAACAAATTTTTACAGGATTTTTTATATATTTTATATATATATTTTATAAGTGCGTAACTTGAGTAGTCCATTTGCTACTACATATATATATATATATATAGCAAGTGTAAAACGATGAAACATGAAGCAAACTTCTAACTGTTCCAGCTTTAATGTGGCGACGTTTCGGCCTTCGGCCTTCTTCAGGTGAAACGTATTTACATGAAAACTAAAAACTAAAAGCTAAAAGCCCAGTTTTTAGTTTTTAGTTTTTATGTAAATACGTTCCACCTGAAGAAGGCCGAAGGCCGAAACGTCGCCACATTAAAGCTGGAACAGTTAGAAGTTTGCTTTATGTTTCATCGTTTTACACTTACTTGATATTTTCATTGAAACACTGTACCCTCCGCGGATCCTTGTACTGGGAGATCATCGTTTGGTTTACCTTTTTACTCTGTTTATATATATATATATACCTTATTATTAAAAACTGGATCATTGGATAATGCAATTCACGACTTTTCATTGGCTTAGCCATTATGGTATCTAAGCCAATATACCATAAACTACAATATGGTAAGCGTACGTATAAGCTTAAAATTGAAAGGGAGCTAAAAATGTAATAAAATTTAATAATTTAATGTAGCGTTTTTAATGAAACAATTATTCCACTCGCGTTTGTTGGATATGAGATGATTATAGCCAACTCGGCGCTACGCGCCGCGTTGGCTATCTATCATCCCATATCATTGAACGCGCGCTCGTGGAATAATCGTTAATTAGACCGATGCAAAAAATATATGAAGTTCATATATTTTGAACTGCGGTATTAGATACGTATGATGCACGATCCTCGCAGTAGATAGCGCTATTTATGCAATAGCGAAAATCAGACCTGAAAAAAATCAGGCCTGTACGGGACTCGAACCACTGACCTCTGCGATACTAGTGCAGCGCTCTACCAATTGAGCTAACAAGCCAACTGGGAGCAGGCCGTTAAGTTGGTTCGTAATAAACCCGTGAAAGTGATAAATGAGATAGAATAAATATATGAAGTTCATATATTTTGAACTGCGGTATTAGATACGTATGATGCACGATCCTCGCAGTAGATAGCGCTATTTATGCAATAGCGAAAATCAGACCTGAAAAAAATCAGGCCTGTACGGGACTCGAACCACTGACCTCTGCGATACTAGTGCAGCGCTCTACCAATTGAGCTAACAAGCCAACTGGGAGCAGGCCGTTAAGTTGATTCGTAATAAACCCGTGAAAGTGATAAATGAGATACAATGAATATATGAAGTTCATATATTTTGAACTGCGGTATTAGATACGTATGATGCACGATCCTCGCAGTAGATAGCGCTATTTATGCAATAGCGAAAATCAGACCTGAAAAAAATCAGGCCTGTACGGGACTCGAACCACTGACCTCTGCGATACTAGTGCAGCGCTCTACCAATTGAGCTAACAAGCCAACTGGGAGCAGGCCGTTAAGTTGATTCGTAATAAACCCGTGAAAGTGATAAATGAGATACAATGAATATATGAAGTTCATATATTTTGAACTGCGGTATTAGATACGTATGATGCACGATCCTCGCAGTAGATAGCGCTATTTATGCAATAGCGAAAATCAGACCTGAAAAAAATCAGGCCTGTACGGGACTCGAACCACTGACCTCTGCGATACTAGTGCAGCGCTCTACCAATTGAGCTAACAAGCCAACTGGGAGCAAGCCGTTAAGTTGATTCGTAATAAACCCGTGAAAGTGATAAATGAGATAGAATAAATATATGAAGTTCATATATTTTGAACTGCGGTATTAGATGAGTATGATGCACGATCCTCGCGCTATCTACTGCGAGGATCGTGCATTATACGTGATAATCTTTTGTTATGGATCAAGACTTATCTGATGAAATATAACAGCTATTTATATTAGTCCTCTGGTTACCAGCATAAACAATGATTTAAAGCTCTCACCTGGGTGGGGACTGGTTATTTTCGGGTCAGGGTTAGGGTTAGCGTCGACCTGTATTGGAGTTAAGTAAAACATATCAGTAAATATCCATACTTCATGCCATGCCCAGGTATGTATACGGAACTGGTATAGTTTCATTGTACAATGTGTACTTAGTCGCTTTTGGCTTCCACTGACAACTGAGAGTTTTTAAAACGAATTTCCTTTGGCTGTCGTCTCCAATTTTTAAGGCTAGCCGTAATTTAGTCAATTTTATAAATATGAGATCAAGCGAGTTCTGTAGTGGTTTCCCTTCTTTTACTTACGACGCACTGTAAATTTTAGGCCTGGGTCGTTTTGTTAGTATGTTGAACTGAAACTAAATTTTGTGATGTCTTTCTTTCATGAAATAATGATAGAAGAAAACATTTTTGCTTTGAAAATAATAAAATTTTCCTCGGATGGGAAAGAACGGTAGTTTAACTGGTACATTATCATGCATAAAATATCTGATGAGTGTTAGCATGAGTTTTTATTGGTGACCATGAAATATCATGATCAATGCCAAATACCTTCGTTAAATAGAAAGAACCATCTCGCTGTAAAAGCCGCCCAGCTGCTGAACTTGCCTCCATCTCGCCGCGAAGAAGATAACAAAGTCCTTGGTTCTGCAGAAACTTTGCACTTCTGCAAGAAGCTTGCCTCGCACACAAAACAGAACAGGAAAGCAAGTAATCAGTTTTTATGGACCAAAAGAGACTCTCTTCCTTGTAGCTGAAAAATGTGTTTTCTTTGATTTTAAAGAAAACGCCATTTTCGGTTCCTTCAGTTGTCTTTGCCGCTAAGAACAAGACGAATGCAAATTGGTACCTCACTTGCAGTAACATCTGTCAAGAGAATCTTAAGGCAAATTATTAATTAGTAAATTTAAGAAACATATAAATTACCTACCTACAGAAAAAATTGTGAAACAAGACAGAATGGGAAAGAAGTTTTAGCCCACCCTTATCTTTTGTTGGCAAAACACTGCGCGACACAAAAACCTTATTGAAAAGATCTGCATCGCTAGTATGAATCGTAAACTGAATTTGATGATTCCTTAATCTTCGTCTAAAAGTCCCTTTCTCCATCACTGGGCAGAATGCCTGTTGTTCTTGCGACATTTCCCTGAGTGACGAAAGTTTTATAGATCTGCTAGATTAGCGGGGAGGCGTAGTCTTTGTATGATTCGTTTACTGTATTCTTGACCGGAAACGCTCCATCGCATCGTCAATCAGACAAAATTTTAAAAGTTATCAGCATTTCAGAAGGGTTTAACTATTTTTAACGGCCAACAGCGAATAAAATTAAAAATCCTATAACTTATGCAAATGTATCGAAATGCGACATAGAATCCAATCGACAGGTGCTCAGAAGAAAACCTCTAACATATAGTCTTTTTAACTTAACGTTTACTTGCGCATTTTGAGTGTCAGTCTCTTGACAAAAAAGGTTCCTTCACAAAATTGTAAGAAACCTTCCCTATCTCTAGATATTTTAATCCTTTTTTTCTTTTACCTGCACTACAATTTTACACTTTCAATGTATTGTTTTACGGCGAAATGCCTCAGCGAAACAAGTGAACGTGCCAAAATAATTTAACTCTAACGATCAGTTAGATTTTACTGAAATAGTAGCGTTAATTCATCAAGCATTAATTACAAGTAAGGCAAAGGTAGGCGAGGTACTCCATGAGTTGTGATCAAGGTACTTATGTACAATGAAGATTGTATTATCACAATCATTATCTAAAGTTTATCGAAGCCATTCCTAGACCAGAATTAGAAAATAAATTGGTAGAACACTAGAGAATGCCTCTCATGTTGAAGCGACAACTCAGAATCAAATGAAAATGATCGTCATCATCAACGAAGATTAATTATACACAGCACCTCATCAACAATTTAACAACTGAACTATACAAGTATGTAGCATTAGACAGTGATCAGAATGATACCAGGACAAAAAAAAGAAGTAATTCCTTACTACATTTGTACCTCTGCCAATAAATCGATTCTTTCCAAGCAAATTGAAGACTCGCTAAGCATAAAACTTCGTTCCGGGATGACAAGACTAATTCTGGGGAAGAAGATGACAAGCATTTTGCATAAAAATATGTGTGTCAGAATTTAATTACTATTTCCCTTAAATTATTATTTTTTTACTTCGAAGAGAGCCAATTAATTACAGGAAAGGAACATTGTGAGCTTACAACCATCTGGCATAGCATTAGGTGAGTCTCAACTAACAGCAGTGTTTTAAAACAGTTTTTTTCCTTCTAAACAGTTTTGAGTTAAATGTTGGTTAATTTCAATCTAATGCTAAAGCTACTTGTAAACCCATTTTGCCTTTTAATCATTACCTTTCTTGACACCGCTTTGTCTTAACTCACACTTCTCAGATTGAAAAAATTACAAGTGATGACAACCTTTTCTCCCAATTTTCTTTTTGACGGGTATTTACACTGTCTAGTGAATAGCGCTACATCTCATTTAAAAGAGGACAAAATAAGCGTCGCGGAAAAAAAATGTTTTCTTCCTTAAAATGCGTGTATTTTAAGACCTTTGTTCCTTACCCTCTTCACTAAAGTGCGCAAACTAAAATTTACTATTTGGACTCATTTACGATAATCGCGCCATAAAGAAAACATCTGTTTCGGTGTCGACACAACTCGGATCGGATCACGGACAGTATCACGAATGGATGACGGACAATATCACGAATGGATTACGGACAGTATCACGAATGGATAACGGATTGGATCTTGAATCAAAGCGCGGATCGGATCGTGGAATGAAAAAAGGATAAAAGAACATTAAGAAATAAATAAACTCAAGATAAGTTTCAACCTCTTAAAGACATGTTCTGACATGAATCATGCCAACATCACTTTACTGTGTTGTAGATAACGTAACTTTAATGTAACGTGTAAAAACAAAGTCAACAGATACCACGCCATAAACTGCTTATGAGTCATTTCAACAAAAGACTTTAAAAAACTATTCCTATATGTTTTAATTTTCTTTGATTCTTTTATTTTCACCAAGTTAGTCTTACGGAAGTATCAAACATGAAATGCAGATGTAATTGAATAAATAAACGAATAACAAAAATTGCAGCACAAAAGGGCTGGAGTAAACTGTTTCCTACTGCAAATAGAGCTGGAGCTTCCCTCATACAGATTGCTGGGCGATCGGGGACTCAGTGAGTTCTGACAAGAGCTCCCGATCGCAAATAGTTTGCTCGTTGACGCATGCCATCATGACATAACTTAGTCTGTGGAGCAAAGGTTTGTCTGGTGATGCACGTTTTGTAAACCAATCACTGAGCGTAAAAAGTAATGTAAAACCAAAGCAATCCCAGAATGCTTTCGATAATCAACTAAAATGTCTCTAGCTGAGTGTAAACATCCTGTTCATTAGTTTGCAGCAGCAGAGCATGGCGGTAAAAACAACAATATTTTAAAACATTGAGAGCTTAACAATAGAATACAAACAGAAAAATAAACAAACAAGCGTACAAAAAAGTTAAAAAGAGATACACGAAGTCTCTGACATATTGACTAATACCTCATTAAGTCAAAGTTTCGCTAAGCGATTTGAATTATAAAAAATTCCATTGGAAAATGAAAATTCTGAAAGATAATCTGGCCTCTTTACACGATGAGAGTAGCTAACTCTTTGTTTGTGCTCATCTCATAAGTGTGGATCGAGGGAGCCTGAAACTTCAGCTTTCTCAATCCGATCCAGACTTCTCCCATCTGGTAGTGACATTTTTACAGCATGAATAAGGTGTAGGAAGTTACACTTTTATCCGAACAATACCCTATAAGCCTTTAACTGATAAGTTTATAAGTTTTCGTCATTACATTATTTGCTACGTAATTTCGTGCGAATAAGTCAATCATTTCTCGAAGATATGTGCGTTAGAGCTTTCAACATTATTGCTGTCTGTCGAGGCTACTTGGCTCGAATGAAAATGTTACCATGTGGATCAACAACATTTTTCTTTTGGTTGGCCTCATTCCTTCCAAGAGGATCATGGGTAGGCCAATTTTTTCCCGCATAACTATCAAAATAATAATAGGTGCTGCTCCAGCGCCCACTCGAATAGAACATTGGTCCATAGTTGGTCTTAGCTAAAAATTTGGAAGGCGCCGGGGATGATTTGCTAGGGTCAACCACGTATTTGATGATCGTACAGTTGACGTCACCATTCTGCCAATCAACCAAGCTGCCACTTCCGGGATGACACATCAACCAGTTGTTTATGTTGCTCTTGATGAGGACCTGTCTGCCGAGTTGTTTCCAGATTGAGAAGTTCATGGCGTTGAAGTCTGTTTCATTTAATGGAGGATTTGTTGAGACAGGAACATCCGCTTTGTTCTTAACCAGCCAATTTGGTCTTGGAGTGATTGCATTTGAACCATCATTGAAATGACTGTAGTTGGTAAAGGAATAGCTCCATACTAGTGTCCAGCCTCCGCCATAAGTATCCATGTCACAGTATGCCTTGAGAGCGTTGGCCTGGGAACCACCATCTGGATCAATCCAGTAGACATCCGAGGAAGTAGTGGGAGATTGGTTATGAAGAGTCTGACACGAGGTTACTGCTGAATTCTGATTAGAACCAAGGGGTGGAGAAGTGTTTTGTTCTATAACGATAAAGATGAAGAACTAGACCAACAACGTCATAATGGATTGTGGAGGAGTGTTAGAAAATGGTTGACACCAAAAGCAGTGGAAATTATTAACTTAGAAAATATAAAACTCGAAAAGGCCTAAGTATATCCCGGTGGAGAAGAGAATATCAACTGCTATTCTCTTTTAGTGGATCAGGACGTGTCCGATTAAATATGATAATTTACGTTGGCCATGGTGCCTAGAAACAGTAACTTGTAGCTCTTACCTGGGTGGGGACCGCTTATTTCTGGGTGGTTGACCTGTATTGGAGTTAAGTGATACGTCTCAGTTAATATCCTGACTTCATGCCATGTCCATGCATATATACGGAATTATTAACTCTTACACTTCTAGACCTGACCAAGAAAGAATTTCATGTTATAATACTACCAATACAATATCAATCTTACAAGTGATGAGAATAAAGAAAAGTACAAGTTAAGGTGGGATTATTAGTTGATCCAATACCAAATTCTCTGAGCAAACATCACAAGAACTGAATGGCAGACAGGGAGGATAATTACTAATGCAAGGGCGTAGCCAGGGGGGTCCTGGGGTGCCCGTGACCCCCCCTCTCGCTAGGCCTACTTTAGAGCAAACAACCTACAATATTCAGGTGGCGAAAACGCCATGACAATATCTTGGCCGTAAAAGCCATTGTTGAAAAGCCCACTTTTTTAAAAATTGTGTTTTTTGCTAAGTATTTTCGTCAACGGCTCTTGTATTTAGTTACTATGGGCCTTCATCCCGCGATAATACGACTGACCCCGCTGATACACGCGGGAGAGCAGCAGTGTAAATTTTGAGTAGCCTCTGTGTCCCCCAATTTGAAAAATCCTGGCTACGCCAGTGTAGTGAGATACTGGAGGTGAAAGGGTTATTTAAGGTTCGTTATACACTATACACTTGGACGCTTTTGGCTTCCGCTGACAACCAAGAGTTCAAAAACGAACTGCCTTTGGAGCTCGTTTTCATTTTTGTATCTACGGACTTCTGTGAAGTCGCAGATACTATGCTATCTAGAGTATAAGTCCGTCCGTCCGTCCGCAACAATAGAAACCTTAGACTAATGCTTGGAATTCAGTTCGGTCTTCTCCGATATCGTCCTATTTATGTATCTCGCGTCGGCGATCGTCATCATAGTTTTTTGGGCTCTGTCCTAGTGTACCGGTTCACAAGGGAATTACCATTGTTCTTTCTTTGTTTAGGAGCTATTGGTCAGCTATTGTGTATTGTTTGGTCTTTTGTATTGGCTCTTGTGAACCGGTACACGAGGACAGAACCGTTTTTTGTCTCTTGCAGGTTTTGTGCCACATTACTGTGAGTATTTGCTCCGAAAAGGTATTGTTTTTTCTCCTCAAAGAAGGTTTTCTGTCGCATTGCTGCGATTATTTGCTCCCCGATTAGTTTTTTACTCAAAAATTGACATGAATGATAAAAATCGCTGAATACTTATGATGTGTGCAAATGGCATGCGGATCAAATTTCAAAGTGAATATGCAAATTTCTCACCAGTGGGTAAAGATATCTTAAGTTTCATAGTATCTGTTAATAGGAAGCAAGACGAAAATGACCAAGAAATATCTCGGGACGACAGTTTTATTCAGAACAATTCTTGATTTGCTATTACAAGCGAAAAACGTACGAGTTTCTTACGTGTACAAAGCTCACGCGGTAAAACTCATCCTGCTTGGATCGTTGTTTACTTGACTTCACGACAAAAAATTGCGTAGTGTTATGTTGAAAATTCTGAAAGTACTGAACGCATAGAATAATGCCCCTCTAGTACCCCCTAAGGCCATTAAAATATATGCGCAAGCTACGGATTCTGATTGGTTTGTTGATCTCCTAACCATAGAGAAAGTTGGGGACAAAATTCTGTTTACTAGGGGAGGTAGGGGGAAAAGTGTTTTCGCGCGAGCTAATCGCGCGTTTCGGGCGGTCCCGGGCGGTTCAGGTGTCAATGTGGTTCAGGTGTCAACATAATATATTTATGCGGTTAATTACTTCTGGTTACAATTGGGTCATTCCATATAATAATATCTACTCCCCCTATATAAGAAACTGGTCTTTGATTGAAATTAGCCAGCACAAGTGAATCAACTATAAATAA